TTCCTTCTAGTTGTAGAATTTCCACTCAGCCAGCCTTCCTGTGGTTCTGGATGATGTCCATTCTGTCTTTTAGTTGTATTTTTGAAGTGGTTGTGCGAGGCAGCAAACTCCGGTGTTTACCTATGCCATCATCTTGGTTTCTCCAATGTTTCTATTTCTTTCTCCCTCTCCTTTCTTCTCTGAAATCAATAAAAACCAATTTTTTAAAAAAATACAAAACCTCCCACAAAACTATACTTTAGCTTAAGGATTTCTATAATAACCAAGGTTTGAGATGACATTATCTATTCTGTTCTATCACTTATTCACCAATTATTTTTTTGTATAGACAAAATATGCTAGGTACCCAATACAGAGATTAAGACATGATTCCATTCCTTGGATTGAGTGAAGGAAGACATACATATTTTTATGGGATATAGTATTGAGAGATGTATGTTCTCAGTGCAGAGGGAATTCAGAAAGTTGGAAGAACTTTCTGTGCCTTTGATGGGGATGGATTTTAGGAAAGGATTCTTAAAAGAGGATTTTTCTAAATGTATTAGAAGTTCACAAGTGGGTAAGAGGAAAGTTAGCATTCTCAGGAGGAGTGGCAAGCGTATAAGCATATAGCATATTTTAAAAACTATAATTTAGAGACCTGGAGTTGCGAGAGATACTGCCAGAAGAATAAGGTATAAAGAACCTTATGTACCAGGCTAAGGAGATTAGGTTTTATACAGTTACAGAGAACTATTGAATATTTTTAACTTCTAGATTGAATTTGGGTTTTCATTTTAGAAACTCATACTATAGCAGTGTAGAAGATGTATTGAGGGAATAAAATTAGAGTGTTGCAGTGTCAAGCAAAAGAAGATAGGGGAAATAACAAGGTATGAAGAAAAGAGAATAGATTTAAGAGAGGTTTAGTAGATAAACTCAACCAGATATACTGACTAATTTGGATATAAAGTGTGTAGAAAGAATAAGCAAGAATGACTGAGGTTTCTGGCCTAGATAGTTGTGTATGTGAGGGTGGCATTAAACAGGATACTCAGTAAAGAATCAGTCCTTTCTAGGGAATTGGAGATGCTTAATGAACATACCAGTTGAGTTGTCTGTACATACAGAAATTATCATTATATAGGTAGAACTTTAAACTTTTTTTTTAAAATATATTTTATTGATTTTTTACAGAGAGGAAGGGAGAGAGATAGAGAGTTAGAAACATTGATGAGAGAGAGACATCGATCAGCTGCCTCCTACCCATCTCCTACTAGGGATGTGCCCGCAACCCAGGTACATGCCCTTGACCGGAATCGAACCTGGGACCTTTCAGTCCGCAGGCTGACGCTCTATCCACTGAGCCAAACTGGTTTCGGCAAGAACTTTAAACTTTTGAGTTTGAAAAACAGTGGGTATAAAGCATAAGAATGGGTTAGAATGGAATAATAGTGAATAGCAGGTACATTTTTAAGAACAGAGTTAGGAAAAGAGAAGCTGGTGAAAGGAGTCTGAAGAGTAGTCATAAATGCATTGAGAAAATCAAGAAATGCTTGAAAAATAATGTCCTTTGGATTTGGCATTTAAATGGAAGTTGACCTTTTTAGTGTCAAAGTATTCAGAAGCCAGATTCCAGGGGGTTTGTGGTTGTGTGTGTGTGTGTGTGTGTGTGTGTGTGTGTGTAAGCAAATTTATGGTAGATTATTGTTTTAAGTTTGGTCCAGAAATGGAGAAGAGGGTGGCAAGTTGGAGGGGTTAATAGACCAAGGTAAGCATCTTGTTTTTATTTTAATGGTTAAGATGCAAGAGATTGACTATATAAATAAACGGGTATCTTTTTATACAAGTTGGCTAGCCTTAGTTTTTATATGTTATTTGCTTTTTATTTTTAAAAAGAAAATGTTAATGAACATATTACCTGTTGGTGAGTTAGTTTTGCTACTGTAAAATAAGCTTAATGGTTGTCTATAATTATTTTCAGGAGTATGAAAATAATGAAAATGCTTCGACTCAGTCAAAGGTTGTGAATAAAAAAGATAAAAGAAAGAATCATCAGGGAAAAGACAAACCTCTCACAGTATCACTAAAAGATTTTCAATCTGAAGGTAATATATGTGTGAAATCTATATGTAGAGTAACTGTTCTAAGTCTTTGTTTACTTGATTTGTAAGTACATTTTTAATTTTTAAAGTAAGTAAAAATGGTTTTGTTAATCTGCTACTTAGAATGTAGAATGTAAACCTGTTCGGAAATAAACCATTTAGATGTTAAAGTAATTTATATCAATCATTAAAACCCCATAAAACTAGAATTTATCTTTTTGTATTTCTAATTTTGTCCCTTTTCTAAAACTCACTGAAAATGAAAATTAACATTTATAGATTTTAAGTCATTATGAGACATATTTTTGTCCTTATACATAAAGTGATTTGGTTTAAACTAGATCAGGAATAGTATCTTTAGGTTTCATCCATTATTGGTCAACCTCCTCAAATTATCTGGAGCTACACCTTATAAAATTAAAATACAAATTTTTAGAATGAGAGTTATTACCAGAAAATTCTTTATAATATCATTTATAAATTTTTTTATCAAAAAGAGAAGATAGAAGAAAATTGTACCATCCACTAAATTTTTGAAGACAGACCACTGAACACTTTACTTTTGATGTTGGAAATGATGAAAACCCTAGATATCACACTATTCATGTGTGGCAACTTAAATATAAATTAGTTAAAATGAACTAAAATAAAATTTTTTTTAAGTGTTGCATTAGCCACATTTCAAATGCTCAGTAGCCATGTGACTAGTAGCTTCTATATCAGACAGCAGTCAGAAAATTATTTTGAACAGCACTGTGATTATACCAACCAAGTGGACAGTTGTTTGTTCAATGGCAGAGCAGTATATTTGATTCATATGAATTTAGCGTTAATACATTGGGCATTTGTTCTGTGAGGATTAATAATACCATAGCAATAATCTCAAAAAAAACCCCAAACACCCTACTGGTACTGTTTTCAGAAACAAGCCTAATGAAAGTAGGAATAAATTTAAAGGATTATATTGCTCTCCTTTAAGGATCAGGAAAATTGCTTTGTTTTGGGGTTAAAAGGACCAGATGTATGCTAAAATTAAATTTCCAATTTTAATAAGAAAGATTTTATATAAGAAATATTTTCTTAAAAATTAAGCAGAAGCATGTAAAGGAACTCAATTTTCCATATGTTAGACTTATTAAGTGTTATGTAAGTGTATTAGATGGCTTGAGAAAGACATCAGTATAATACTGTTAAAGGAGAAACAATTATAAGATGTGAGTAACACATTCTTCCTTAGGTTCTGGCATCACATTGTATGCTAAGTAGAATAGGCTAGTAAATTGTAATCTACTAAGATTTAGTAGTTAGATCTGAAACTTGTAATTTTGACATTTACTAGCTTTATGGACTCTATTCTGATTAGTGAATGCTTTAGAGAACTGGTTCAACTTTTAGATTCTCAATCATAAGAAAGCTATTCTATTCAATTATTAGTCCTTGAGAATGGAGAATTTTTGTTGTCCACAAGAAGCCTTATTAAATATTAGATACCCTGATAATTTTCAATTTAAATAAGAACACTTGCTCCCTATTTGTACTTTAGTTTCAGTCTTCTGTGTGGATTCCCTTATGTCTTCCTTTTCCTCATTCTGTAATCCCTTTTCACAAATGCTGTTGTTCCTAAGAAAACGATTTCTTTAATCTAGATATATTTATTTTGCCTTCTTTTTGTGTTCTATAAATATACATTAATTTTTAGAATTTTTATAGTATATCAAATCACTATGATGCATTTTTTAAAACAAAACCTAGCTAATAGTTTTAAAGGACACAAATTATTATTTGACTTTTTATTTTATTCCACGAAGGCAGTGGTCTGTATAGTTTTTGCAGTCATAGTATCCTGTGATTTGATTTTAGACATATTTTGTGCCCTCTCAAATTCTTTCCTCCTTCCAAACATACTATGTGAAACCAAAGCTCAAATGATGTGGAATTCAAATGTTTAAAATTTAATAATACCCCTTTGTTATGGGTGGCATTTTCTGGAATATAAGACCTAGTCACAAAGCTGAACAAATTAATAGTTATATACTGAATTTTAACATCTTTAGAAGAGTAAATCTGATGAATCCTAGGCAACCCCCAAATGACTTCTGAAACTCATAATTTTGAAATTCTCTTGTTACTTTGTTTAAATATTTTTTACATATTAAAATATTTTATCCGTTAATTTCCTTCAATGAAGCATCACCATTCTATTTTACAGATCACATTAATAAAAAGACAGAGGTAAGTGTTGTAACCATCTTTATTTTAGAAAATATTTCATGATTATAAGAATAATGCTTTAATGTTTAGTAGTAGGTCTTTTTATGAGTCATAGTCATTTATGGAACAACCCATAGGTTTTTCATGAGTAAACTCAATCATGTTTCTGGCAGTTATAAGGATATAAAATACATTGTGTCAGAATAAGCATATGATTATTTGCATGAAATATAATGTAATGTCATTTGGCTTTAGCATCCTGATTTGTGTGTGCCTGTGAGTCAAAAGGTTTTGACATGTAAGTTAAACCTTTAGGGAAAGTCTGTATTTTATTATCAGTCTGTATTTTAATCTTCATTAAAAACATCCTGAAATACCATGTCTTTAGGTATTTTAGAATTAAAAAATTGTGAGGTAAACTTTAATTATATAGTTTATACCCATGAATAAGATTAACCTGATCATATACTTACCATTCATTCACCTTTAGAGGGTAGTATAGCTATAACTTCCTAGTGTTCTTGGTACCTTTTTAAAAAAAATTCCATAAAGCCTCTACACACCTTTTAGAATTAGGAAATGAGACTACTATACAATATATTTTAATATTGAGGGTGGTACTAAAAATTGTTGAGTTCTTTTTACTTCTTTAGGTAATAATTGAAAGTTTTATTATTCTCATATGATGTATGTGTATCTTGTCGATAATTCCATTAGTTGATTTTTTAATGGCCAGCTATATTTCTTGGTTTCACTTTAGAACACATACATGGTTCTTAATAATTTTTTGTTGTTTCATGCATTTGCTTGACAAGTCAGGAATAATAAATTCATATATATGAAAATAAAATTTAAATAACTCTGTTACTATATTAATAATATAGTCCTTAACTATTCACAACAAACTGAGAATTAATTTGTTGGTGAAACAGACATTAGAAATTCTTTTGAATTTATTTACAAACAACTGTCACCAATTCGTAGATTAAACTTAAATGACCACAAATATAGACTATTAATTTTATGTTTGAAAGTTGAAAACATTTACTTTTAGATTGATTCCAATTTTTTTAATCCACTGATTAAAAAATGAACGTTAGCTTTATGTGAATAAGCAAGTAGATAGAAAATGGTACACCATATTCCCAAGAAACTACCCCCAACTGTTAGTAGAAGAAAAAATAATTTTTATGAACTGTTCCATGCTTACTTCTTCTTCTTTACTGATTTGAAAGAAGGGGAAATAAGGCAGTCTGACCAGGATTTCATCTATTTAATATAGGTACTTAATCTGAATTGTATTTAAAGAAGCATAGGTGTGTGACATAGCCTATATTTTGTTTTTCATTATAATTTTGTTTTTGAGAATGAGAAAGGTTTTATTTTAAACTCAGCAAGTCCTAGCACCTTTATGTTGAGTAGTTCTTCCTTTTGCTTTTCTCCTCTTTGTAAAAATTAAATTTATTGGGGTGACTGGTTAATAGTATCATATGGGTTTCAAGTGTGTATTTCTATGAAATGTCATCTATATATTGCATTGTGTGCCCACTACCCTAAGTCAAACCGTCTTCCGTGACAATATATTGGACCTCCTTGATCCCCCAACTCCCCACTCCCTTTCTTCTGGTAACCACCATACTGTTTATGAGTTTTAGTTTTATTTCCCACATATGAGTAAAATCATATGGTCCTTAGATTTTTCTGACTGACTTATTTTGCTTAGCATAATATTCTGAAGGTACATCCATGTTGTCACAAATGGCAATATTTTATCTTTTCTTATGGCTCAGTATATTGCATTGTATGTACGTACCACATCTTTAGCCAATCCTCTATGAAGGACACTTTTGTTTCCATGTCTTGGCCGCCATGAATAATGCTGCAGTGAACATAGGGGTGCATATATCTTTGCGAAAAAATTTTTTTTCAAGTAGATACCTTGAAGAGGGATTGCTAGGTCATATGGTAACTCTATTCTTAATTTTTTGAGGAACCACAAGACTATTTTATATAGTGGCTGAGTCAGTCTACATTCCCACCAGCAGTGAATGTGGGTTCCCTTTTCTCCATAACCTCTCCAACACTTGTTATTACTTGTCTTGTTGATAATACTCATTCTAATAGGTGGTATCTCATTGTAGTTTTGCATTGCATTTCCCTGATAGCTTTGAAGTTGAACATCTTTTCATGTATCAGTTGGTTGTATGTCTTCTTGGGAGAGATATTTGATCAGGTCCTCTGCCCATTTTTTAAAAATTATTTTGTTGATAGTATTACAGATGTCCCGTATTCCTATCCCCCCTTTGCTCCCTTACACCCAAACCCCACCCCACCTGCACTATTGTCTGTGTTCATGGGCTGTGCATATATGTATATAATATATTTGGTTAATCTCTTTTCAACTCCTTGCCTCCCTTCCCTCTGAAATCTGTCAGTCTGTCCCATGCATCTATGTCTCTGGACCTATTTTGTTCAGTTTATTTTGTTCATTATATTCCACATGTAAGTGAGATCATATGGTATTTATCTTTCTCTGACTGGCTTATTTCACTTAGCATAGTAACATCCACGTCTGTCCATGCTTCACAAAAGGTAAGATTTCCTTATTTCTTACGGCCACATAATATTCCATTGTATAAATATACCACAGCATTTTTATCCACTCATTTACTGATGGGCACTTGGGCTGTTTCCAGAACTTGGCCATCTATAATAATAAAAGGGTAATTTGCTAATTAGACCGGACGTCATTCTGGACGTCCTTCTTGACAAAGCCGGGGCTGGAGGGAAGTCAGCCTGGGTCCCGGGTGCCTGCGGGCAGCTGGAGGAGGAAAGCAGCCCCGGTCCTTGGTGCCTGCTGGTGGCTGGAGGAGGAAGCCCAGGTCTCAGATGCCAGAGGGAAGCCGGTGCTGGCAGCTGGGGGAAGGAAGGCCTGCTCTTGCACGAATTTTTATGCATCGGGCCTCTAGTTATAAATAATGCTGCAATGAACATAGGGGTGCATATATTCTTTTGAATTGGTGTTTTGGGAGTCTTTGGATATATTCCCAGAAGTGGGATCGCTGGGTCAAAACGCAGTTCCATTTTCAATTTTTGAGGGAAATCCATACAGCTTTCCACAGTGGCTGCACTAATCTGCATTCCCACCAACAGTGCACAAGGTTTCCCTTTTCTCCACATCCTCACCAGCATATATTGTTTGTTGATGGTAGTCATTCTAACGGGTGTGAGGTGATACCTCCTTGTTTTAATTTGCATCTCTTTGATGATCAGTGACTTTGAGCATTTTTTCATGTCTCGGCCATCTTTGGAGAAGTGTCTATTTAGGTCCTTTGTCCATTTTTTAATTGGATTGTTTATCTTCCTTTTGTTAAGCTATATGAGTTCTTTATATACATTGGATATTAGCCCTTTATTAGATACTAGGGGCCCAGTGCATGAATTCATGCACCTTGAAAGGAACTGTAGGCTGCGAGGCTGGAGTGGGCACAGAAGTGGGTTTCGGCCCGTCCTCTGTGCCTCCGCCTGGCCCTTCCTGCCATTGCCCCAGGTCCCCTCTCTGCCTGCAGTCCTGCTCCCGCTGCCACAACTCCCATGCGCTGACGGCACTAGCCCTGCTTACACCCCCTGACGGTGTGGAGCAATTGGGGCCGGCGTCAGCAGTGGGTGCGAGTGGGACCGGTGCTGGCAGCAGGTGCGAGCACCGGGTGGGCCTGTGGTGCACAGGAGCAAAGAATTTTCAGTAACTACGAAAGGCTCACCCCAGTGACAGCGACCAGCAGGCCCTGCCTTGGTCTGGCACCCCTGCTTACCAGCTCCACCATCCCGCCATGTCTGACATCCACCATGTTCCCTGCACAGCACCTGGTGGTCAGCACATGTCATAGCAACCAGTTGTCTGGTTGTTCTGTTTGTTCCACTGTTCGGTCTATTTGCATATTAATTTTTTATTATAGAGGATATCATTGCCAAATATGTTATCCCATAGGGGCTCCCTTTTCATTTTGTTGATGGTTCATTTTGCCGTGCAGAAGCTTTTTGTTTTGATGTAATCTCATTTGTTTTTTTCTATTTCTTCTCATTATAACAGCCCCTTAAGCATTTCTGCAGTGCTGGTTTGGTGGTGACAAACTTCTTTACCCTTTTTGTCTGGGAAGGTCTTTATTTCAGCATCTATTTTTTTTAATATATTTTATTGATTTTTTGCAGAGAGGAAGAGAGAGGGACAGAGAGTTAGAAACATCGATGAGAGAGAAACATTGATCAGCCGCCTTGAGAGAGAAACATCGATCAGCTGCCTCTTGCACATCTCCTACTGGGGATGTGCCCGCAACCCAGGTACATGCCCTTGACTGGAATCGAACCTGAGACCTTTCAGTCCGCAGGCCGATGCTCTAGCCACTGAGCCAAACCGGTTTCGGCTCAGCATCTATTTTGAATGATAGTCTTGCTGGATATAGTGATCTTGGTTTGGGGTCTTTGCTTTTCATTACTTTGAAGACTTCATGTCATTCCCTTCTGCCTGTAGAGTTTCTGATGAGAAATCAGATGACAGCCTTATGGGAGTGTATTGGTAGGTAACAAATTGCTTTTGTCTTACTGCTTTTAAGATTTTCTCTCTGTCTTTAGTTTTTGGCATTTTAATTATGATGTGTCTGAGCATGGGCCTGTTTGGGTTCTTCTTGCTTGGCAGTCTGTGCCTCCTGAATTTGTATGACTTTTTTGTTCACTAGGTTAGGGAAATTTTCTGCCATTATTTTTTCAAACACATGCTCTAGCCCTTGCTCATTTTTTTCTCCTTCTGGCACTCCTATCATGCAAATATTGTTGCATTTCATGTTGTCCCACTGCTCCTTTAAGCTGTCCTGTTTTTTAATTGATTTTTTTTTTTTTTTTTTGGTTCTCTGAGTGATTTTTTTCTACTCCATTGATCTGATCCTTGGCTTCCCCTAATATTCTGTGTATTCCTTCCACTTTGTTCTTTATTAGTGCTATGTCATTCTTCATAGTTACTATATCTT